TATGGTTAAGAAAGGGTGAAAATTGGTACTACCTATCCTAAAGACGCATAAATCCCTCACATTTGCGAGTTTCATACCCATGAATTAAGTGGGTTAATTGCTTAATAGATTAATATATCAATTACTTCATACAATCATTCTCCGTAAAAGTGACATTATCAAGCTAAACTATTGCACAACATAATATAAAAATTCGAGTCAGCTCAGGTCGTCATCTAATATTGACATGTTGAATTGATCACAGGGTAATAAGTAGACATAACGACACTATTGCATTTCACACAGACTTATTTTCCAAAGTTTTTTTTTACCTCTGGACCGGACTGCAGCTTAAACCCCATCCGGGTCTGCTGCCACTGGGTTACGGGGCAGATGTGATATGAGTTGCCGATAATTTCCCAGCCTACTCACTAGTCAGATAGCAGTAGTCGAAACACTTTTGATTTATCAACACTGATGCCAACATAAATATGAACAATGGTACCCGTGGTTGTCTATACGAGTGGTAGCATTGCTGTTTGCCGCTTTGTTTATGCATCCGTTGGGAGTGCGAATAAAGCTAAAACTGTAGTCCACTCTGGAATTCAGTCGCGTAGTGATTTCTCATCATAGAATTGTGGCAAATCCGATTATCCGATCCAACAATCTTGGATTGGAATCTTTTTATTCGAGATCTACCAACATCTCTGGAGCCTACACAGCCGAGATAGTATGACTAGGGGAGTTTTGACCGACTACTTAAACGAGAATACCAACAGAATAGAAAGAATACCAACTTACCATTGGAAGAGTGGGCCGAAGACATCGCCTCCGACTGAATAACGCGCCTTATAATCCCACGAAATGTCTCATCGCCCAGCGTTTCACTCATCGGCTCGGTTCCCCCAGTTCCTAATGCCTCCAAGCCGGCGTCTCTCTGCATCCCAATCAACCTGATCGAGGCCAAGGAAGTCGAGCCAACAACTTCAACCTTTTCTCCACTGACCGAACCACCTACAGCATCTCCATCGGCGGCAGCAGAAGGGGTAGGAAAACCTGTATTTTTGGAAAACCCGCCTCCTCGGCTTTCGCTGCTGCCATGGTTGCTGCTGACAGCTCTACTCTTGA